TGCTAGCTCTTTGTTTAATTATTCTGCGGGACATGAACAGTAGTAGCAGTAAATAGCATTTCAGTATGTTAAATTCTGCCCAAATTTAGACAAAACAAAATGTTTCCTGCCCAGAACATTTTTGTACTGTGCGCTGTACATTCAGTTTTGTGGACAAAGGTGGCTGGTAATACATTTGCAGCTGTTGTCAAAATTTCTGTTCTATCTTTTAAATTAAAATACTGAAACACTGCTGTGTCCTTGTCTCTCCTGAAGTGCATTACAGCAAACTATAAGCATGTCTCCCAGGAATATCCCATATTATCTCATTGAGGTAAAGCCATTCCTTCACTTATGTAATGAATAATGCAAAAGACATGTACTGTCATCAGAGATGAGACTCCATTGACAGTTTTTCTTTCTCCTGTTTTTGTTTGTCTTAATTCCTACACTTTTAAGTGTTTTTTAAGCTAATTTTTGTTTCCTAAGGATTAACCTAATTTATTTTAGCATGCAGTTCTAAGAATAAGGGAAAAGCAGTGTTCTCTTCCTCCTTGCTAGAGAATTATTTCACATGTGCATGTAAAAAAACCTCCTCTCCTGCTTCTCCCCTAGTTCAAGGTATGTTCAAAATACATCTTTTCTGTAATTACTGGTCCTGATTCTTTTTTTCCTTAAAGAAAAAACAAAAATCGTTTGATCACTCAATTTATCCTTTCAGCTGAGTCGTTTTCACTTCAATTTACCTCTCAGAGCTGAGGGCTCTCTGGCATCTTCTCTTGGTTTTCCAGTTCCGTGGGTTTTTGTGTCTTGCTGTCGATTCCTGACTGTCTGAGAAACTAGGAGGCAAGTAATGTTCCTGTGCTGGCCTCTGCTCGCTTTGCAGTAGTCTGAAAGTCTGGCTCAGTGTGTTTAGTGCCTGCGCCCTAGATTAAGGTGAGGCCAGCTCAGTGGGATTCACTGGTGTCTTAGTGTGATTTGGGGACAGGCACCTGTCTCTTTTGCCCTCACAGGACTCCTGACCAGCTTGTCCCCATGCTGGTTTTGGCTTTTATGGGGGTGGGAACTCAAACACCCATAAACTGTAAGGAAGCTGCAGATGGGGAAGAGGCCTCCTGCCATTTTTCCACTCTTTGTACCTTTGCTTGGGACTGAATTTGCTTGGGATTCTGGAAGACACCTGTGGTAACTTCTGTACAATTGAACTGCAGTCTAGACTCCCTTTCCCTTTGAGGTGGTAGATGCCAAATTCTCCTTGTAAATTTGAAGTATGGGCCAACCTAATTACTGAAATTCACGTCTTGGTTACTTTCTGGGTGCATGGGTGGCAATGGGAGATGTGGTAACTAGGCATTGCGCTAGCATGTTCTGCACGGACGCTGGCTTCCCACCTGCTTCCCTTTCATTTTACAGAGCATGTGGCAGCTGGAGCACTGCTTGGTAGAGCTCAGAGAAATGCATGTGCTATCTGCAGCTGCCAGTGTCCTCACTGGCTCCTTTAGCTGAAGCAGCCTTGCTGCTCTCTGCCTTCCAGTGTCTGCAAATGGTTTCCCACTCTTCCCTTCATCAAGCTGCCATGAAAACATCCTCCAGCCACAGATGGGGAGAAAAAAATGGGCCAAGAGGAGCTGTTCCATCTCCTGATGGTGTGAAGCACACACTCCCTTCTCCCCGTGGATGTAAAGCACTAAAAGAGACTGAGGTGAGTGGCTGGAAGTGATCTACACAGGTTGCACAGCCTAAGCCTCATTATCTCACCACCTCAATTTAAAAAGTTGGTCGCGATCATAAGAGTATTTAAATGTACTTCAGATTACTTTTTAGCCTCTGCGTTTTCATTAATTATGTGATGCAGTCTGACTCATGCTCTTATGTAAGTACTGAGCTGTAACGAAGCTGCGTGTTGTAGTCATTTAGTGAAGAGCTGTAAGGGTCATGGGTGTTTCCATTAAAACACAACCCTTTCTGTCCCAGAGGGGATGTTTCAACTATAAGAATAGGGATGTGCAACTTTCAATTTTGTCTCTCCTCTGCAGGCATAGAGGAGATGTGTGATGGCAGGGGTTGTTCTCATCAAATTAGGTGGATTCTTGTGTACGATCTGGGGAAAATCAGGCCATTTACAAAATTGTTTTGTGCTCATGAGAAATTGCTGCTTCCAACAATTTACCCCAGTAGTTTTGTTTGCAAAAGATGTTGCATGACAGAAACACAAATTCTTTTCTGTTCTAAAGTGACTGGAGCCTTTTGGTTCATATTCAAAACTGAAAAGTATCTCCAGATTGATGTAGGAACCTCCAGCCCACAGCTGTAACCACACGCTGTGATCTGTCATATCTCCTACAATGAACAGCCTGGAGGGGACAGGGGGAAGGACAAGACTAGTGGCAGGTCTTGCTTCTTGGAAACAGCCTTTAGTCCTCCCAACTAAAATTCATGCTTTAAATGGGATTTGCATTTTGATAGCAGTGGTAGGATTAGCAGCTATGGCAAGAAGAGCCATGTTGGTAGTACAACAAAGATGCCAGCCTGTATGACTTTGAGGGAGCTGAATTTTCTGTTAAACATTAAAAAAAAAAAAAAAAAAAAAAGGCACTGGTGCACTGGTGTAGATACTGCACCTTATTTATGCAGTCTTATTTTTCTAGGACCAAAAGTCTACAGGATTCATTACTGTAATATATTTGAATATTTGGAGTTTAATATATATATATATATATATATATATGCTAGACTAAAGCCAGAAATACTAAGTAAGTGCCTTTTTCAAATACTCCTTTCCCAAATGGCCAATCTGCCACATCCCTGCATACTGTAGAGGCAGG